TCTGGACTCCTGGCTTCAACCTTCCCCAACCCGGCTGCTGTGGGCTTTGGTGGAGAGTGAACCAACACATGGAAGATCTCTCTCTCTTTCTCTCTCTCTCTCTCTGTCACCCTTTCAAATAAATAAATCTATTTATTGATTCGCCCTACTGTCTTCTGGATAAAAACTGGGCTCTTTGGATGGAGTATCTGTCCCTTGCCTCCCACCATAGTCCAATCTGCTGCCAGCCCCCGCGTCTCCTCCCCCCAGCCACATGGAAGTCCCTGAAGTGCCCTGAAGGCCCTAGGAGCCTCAGCCCCTGAAGTCCCCATACTCTGTCCCCGCTGCCTGGCGTGTCCACAGCCCCTCCACTCCTGACTCTTGCTTGCCCTTCAGAGCTCAGTCCGAGCACTTCCTCCCATCGGAAACCCAGCCAGGTCCCCGTGTCAGCCATCCCCGCTGGCTGAGGGCCCCTCCTTCTGCAATAGCTTTGTGGCGGGCTGTGTGGACATGGCAGGTCCTGTCGCAGGGCCGCTGGGCAGCCAGTGCATGCCTTACCCCACCCCGAGTCTGCGAGTGACCTGGGGGAAGGGCTGCTGCCGCCTGGCCGGGTGTCCAGTTGTGAGCCAGGCACCACTCAGCTCCTTTCTGCTCTTCACTGAAATACGATTTGTGGAGAGTAAAATCGACTTGTGGGGGGACACACCGCTCCCTGAGCCTTTTTTTTTTTTTTTTTTTTTTGACAGGCAGAGTGGATAGTGAGAGAGAAAGACAGAGAGAAAGGTCTTCCTTTTGCCATTGGTTCACCCTCCAATGGCCGCCACAGCTGGCACACTGCGGCCGGCGCACCGCGCTGATCCGAAGGCAGGAGCCAGGTGCTTCTCCTGGTCTCCCATGGAGTGCAGGGCCCAAGGACTTGGGCCATCCTCCACTGCCTTCCCGGGCTACAGCAGAGAGCTGGCCTGGAAGAGGGGCAACCGGGAAAGAATCTTGGGCCCCGACCAGGACTAGAACCCGGTGTGCCGGCGCCGCTAGGTGGAGGATTAGCCTAGTGAGCCGCAGCGCCAGCCGCTCCCTGAGCCTTGATGAGGGTGACAGGGAACAGTTCCATGGCCCCCCGGAAGTCCCTCCCCTGCCCCTGTGGCCATCTTCACCCGAGCCCCAGCCACAGGCAGCTCGTGGCACTTTCTAGGCCCGTGGTTTTGCCTGTGCCAGAATGCCACACAGGTTCACTGAATGCAATGCACCTGACGCTCACAGACAGTGTCGAAGCTACGGCTTTGGGTTCATTCTTATTGAGAAGAGAAGTCCTCAGTATGGCCGGACAACACTTTCAGCAGAATAACGTTTGGGTTTCCAGTCTTTGACAGCTGTGGGGCAGCCACTATCAGCATTCATTTGGTACTGTGGGATTGGAACAGTATGTCTGAATTGATGAGAAAATGCTGAACGTCTTCCAAAGTGACCATACCAGATGCACCCCACCAGCAGCAGGCACGAGTCCCAGTCCCTCCACCAACACTGTTGAGAATAGTAATCGAGTGGCTTTTGCGTCTTTGTGGAAGATCAGTTGAGCACATCCAGAAACATGTGTTTCTGGAGGTCCAGCTCTGTTTCATTATGTAACTATCTATTCTTTCAATGCTATCACATTCCCCGTCATATCTATTCTTTCAATGCTATCACATTCCCTGTCTTCTTTTAATATTGTTTATTTTAAAGTCAGGGTTAGAGAGAGAGAGAGAGAGAGAGAGAGAGAGAGAGAGAGAGAGAGGAATCTTCCATTCACTGTTTACTAACCCAAATGATCACAACAGTTGGGGTGGAGCCTAGCTAAAGCCAGGAGCCAGGAGCTTCATCTAGATCTCCCACGTGGGTGCAGGGGCCCAAGCACTTGGGCCATCCTCTGCTGCTTTCCCAGGCACATTAGCAGGGAGCTGGATCAGAAGTGGAGCGGCCTGTGGCACCCATATGGATGTCAGCATTACAGGCAATGGCTTAACTCCACTGCATGGCAGCACCAGCCTCCAGTGACTGGTACTTTATATAAATCTTGAGAATAGATAGAGTCCCTCAAGTTTTTTTTAAGATTTATTTATTTGAAAGTTTGAGTTACAGAGCCAGAAGCAGAGAGAGTGAGAGAGAAAGAAAATTAGAAATCTTCCATCCGCTGGTTCACTCCCCAATTAGCCATGATGGCCAGAGCTGGGTCGATCTGAAGCCAGGAGCAAGAAGCTTCTTCTGGGTCTCCCACATGGGTGCAGGGGTCCAAGGACTTGGGCCATCTTCTATTGCTTTCCCAGGCCACACCAGGGAGCTGGATCGGAAGTGGGGCAGCGGGGACGCCAACTGGCGCCCATATGGGACGCCGGCACCGAAAGTGGCATTAACTTTACCCGCTACACCACAGCGCCAGTCCCTCAAGTTTGTTCTTTTTAGAAATTGTTTAGTGGGGCCGGCACTGTGGTGCAACAGGTTAAGCTGCCGCCTACAGTGCCAGCATCCCATAAGGGTGTCGATTTGAGTCGCAGCTGCTCCACTTCCAATCCAGCTCCCTGCTAATTCACCTGGGAAAGCAGCAGAGGATGGCCCAAGTGGTGGGGCCCCTGAGCCACTTGAGAGATCCAGAAGCTCCTGGCTCCTGGCTTTGGTCTGGTCCAGCCCTGGCAGTTGCAGCTACGTGGGGAGTGAACCAGCAGATGGAAGCTTTCTCTCTCCCTCTCCCTCACTCTCTGTAACTCTTTCAAATAAATCTTTTTAAAAATTGGGGCAGGACTGGCTATTTTAACAGCATCGATCTGCTATCAGAATGTGATATGGCTGTTTGTTTAGATCCACTTTGATGACTGCCATTAGTATTTTTTGCTTCTCAGCCTAGAAATTATATACAGATTGTGTTAACTTTATACATAAGTAGTTCGTTGTTTGATTCAATTACAAGTGGGATTATCTTTTTCATTTCAGTTGTTCAGTGTTTATATACAGAGGTAGAATTGATTTTTGTATAATCATATTTCCTACAACTTGATTTATTAATTTAGTAGAATTTTGGTGATTCCTTGGGGGTCTTCAATGTAGTTTGTAGAGGCAGTGTTTATTTCTGCCTCTACCATCATAGGCCTTTACTATCTGTTTTTCCCACTTCATCATGCTGGCTGAGACCTCCAGCACAGTGAGGTGGAACAGGGGCGTGAGGGTGACCACCCGGACCTGGCCCCCGCATTAGAGGAGAGCCTCAGGCTCCACGTGAGTCCTGTTAGCTGCAAGCATGTTGCAAATGCCCTGCACCAGACTGTGGGAGTTTCACCGGAGTTGTCCAGTTTTTTAAAAAACGTGGCTAAGATGGCCCACCTGGTTCAGGCACCCACAATCCACCTCGGGGTGCCCAGGCGTGCTGCCTAGCTCTGCCTCCTGCTGACGCAGACCCTGAGAGCCAACAGTGATGACCCAGCTGGGTTCCTTCCACTCTCGTGGGAGACCGGACTGAGTTTCCAGCTCCAGGCTGCAGCCCCGACTGGGGAACTGAACCAGCAGACAGACGGGTTTCTCTTCCCCTCCGTCTCTGCTCTCAAATAAATGAATGAATACGATTTTAAATGTGTGAGCAAATGGTACACATTGTCAAGTACCCTCTCTGCATCTATTGCCCTAAGGGCCGTATGTGGATTGAGAAGGACTTCTCTCCCCAGACCTCACAGAGCTGTTGAAATGCCAATGTCTCCATGGTAATGGTCAGTTGACTAAGGGTGATTTGACCTACTGATGGCGTGGGGAGGGGGCTCCACAGAGGACACTGGGATGGGGTCCCCAGGCTCCTGGCTTCAGCTTGGCCCAACCCTGGCCATTGCAGCCATCTGAGGAGTGAACCAGCAGAGGGAGGCTCTCTGTGTCTCCCTCTCTCCGCTTTTCAATTAAGAGGAAAGGAGGCTAACGGCGCAGCACAGCTGGGCGTGCGAGAGGAGAGCTGAAAGGTGAGAGCCGATGGCAATGCCCCCCTTCCCGGGGCGGGGGGGGGCTCTGAATTGGGATAACTAGGGCAACAGTCACTTTTAGCTGGGGGAGGAGCGGATGGCTTGCCTCTGTCTCTGACAGAAACCCCTGGCCTTCTGCTCTATGGCTGGGCAATGCAGTTTGCCCCACATCCCTGCACAGGTAGCGTTTAATGACAGTCTGCCAGCGGGAGGCACCGGCATGAACGGGGCGGGCTGCTGGGGAGGGGAGAACCAGGACTCGCTCCCCACTGTCTCCACCATGGGCAGCCTGTGCCTCACCCAGGGCCCCTGCTGGGGCAGCCCCGCCTCCTGCCCTCACCCTCCCACCCCAGAAGCGGTGACAGCTTCCTGCTGTACTCCCCTAGCAGCCCACTTTCCCTTCCACCTCGCCCAGCGTTTTAGCCACTGATTTCCCCAATTAAAATCCCGCTACCGGCTCGGGAATAGGGCTGATACAGCCCATCTGGACGGGCTAAAGAGCAAACGCTCTAGGTCAGGTCTCCGACTGCAGCGGCACTGTCTTCCCAGCGCCCTGCTCTGCCCAGGCGCCACAGGCCAGGCAGGGCCACGCTTTGACAGGAGCTGCACCATATCTTACAGGGATTGTTTGAAAAGTTGCTTTTCATATAGAACCCGTTTCCTGGAGTCCTGGTGGGCTTCTTCCTTACAGCATGGTATCTGTTACAATGCTGGCTCTTCTCCACCTGTTCCCGACTCCGCCCATGCCTTCTGCCCGACCAGGTGGCTGGGATGTGTGGCAGACAAAGGACAGCCGAGGGGGCTGGTGTGCCAGAGAGAAGGTGGGGGCTTAACCCCACCTGCAAACCAGGGATCACGGGACCCAGTGGGATCCAGGAGGGGTCAGGGGCTTGGAAAGTGCCGAAGTCTGGCAAGTGGCCGGAAACAAGCTCTTGACCATCTGCAGAAGGTGGCCACAGCCCTGGGCCCCACCTGCCAGTCCAGGGCTGCATCCTCTGGCCGGTGTCCTGCTCCGGGCTCACGAGACAGAATGCAACCAGAACCAGTACCCTCTGTCACAAAAGACTTTTAATGGCCTCCTACATATGCTTCTTTTGTTCATCAGTCCTGTTAGAGTTGAAGAAACTAGAATAACTTATCAGACGTGATAAGGAATGGCACAGGTACAACAGGTTAACCTGGCAGGTGGTCCAGGAATTAAGTGTCACAAAATAATCACTTCACAGAAGGCCCACAAATCTGGAGACACAGCCCCTCCCCGTCCCCTCATCCCGATATTCCCCCCATGCAGGCCCCCCAGCGGTAGGAGGCGGCAGGTGCCACCGTGTCCGCAGCCAGGACCGAACACAGAGCAGAGCAGTCCGGGATGCGTGTGCCCACATGATTCCTAATCCTTTTGCTGACCTGCACCGCAGGCCTGAGACTGTGAGGCACCTGCCGCTGCTTTGCCGCCACCTACCCACATCCCCCGTGGCCTCTGCAATGGTCCCTGTGAGGCGGGCAGAGCCTGGCACCAGCCCCATTTTACACACTGAGGCCAGTGAGGTCCCAATGGCACATTCAGACCCCACACAAAACACCAAAACAAGCACTCCTTGTCTTGTGCCGTGCAAGTGGCTGTGTCCTGAGTGTCCCATTTTCACCTGGAATGCCCTGGGGGCGGGGAGGGCCCTGGCAGGATTTTGTGCCAAGGGCTGGTTCGGGTCTCACCACAATGTTCACCTGCGGTGAGCTAGGGTGAGAGGCTCAGGCAGAGAGGATGTGAGGGGCGCCGGTGGGGGGGGGGGGCAACCTCTCTTTGGGCCTAAGAGCCTCCTATTACCCAAACACAGGGCCGTCCACAAGCTAGGGACACTTGCCAATGAAAAGGCCCCTGCAGGATCCTGCCTCAAAGCCGGGACTCCGTCATAAAATCCTCCCTCCATGTGTGTTCCTGAGCCCGCATCGCTCACAGCTGGCTGCAGGGAGAGCCGAATCTTGCCTCTGGCTGCTTCTCCCATCACACTCCTGTCGTCCCACAGGCCTGCATCCGGGAAGCCGGTGCCACCCAGGGGTGCAGGTGCAGCCCCTCCTTGCTCCCTGGCCCCCTGTGCTGCAGGGCCAGTATCAGGGCCAAGACCCTTCCTTACCGAGCACCCTGCCCAAATCAAAACCAGGCCCGGCTTCAGGGTGGGATGGCTGGGAAACCATCGTAGGGGTGCCCTCAAGTGCTTGGGCCTGGGCCTGTGACCCAAGTTCCAGCACAAAGCTCCTTTGGACTGTGATGCCACAGCCATGCCAACGGGCAGAGCGAGAAGAGAAGCCAGGCTCGCGTCAAACCTCACAATGGGGTTTCCAAGGCTTTTTTTCCTCAAAAGCCAGTCTGCAAGGGAAGCCTCAGTAATGGAGAGAGAGAGAAATGCAGAGAAGTGGGAACAGGGGTCGGGGGAGGCCTGGAGACCTCCCATCTGCCCCCACCCTCCTCTTCCCAGCAGAGCAGCTCCTTGACAAGGCTCTGTGGGCTCCCAAGCACTCCACAGCACCTGCTGGGAAACCACGGGGTCAGGGGCTGCAGACCGGGGGTCCAGGGACCTGTGCTTGGACTGTCCTTTTGGGGGGACAAGGCCACTGGGCAGTGACCTTGCAGGGGATGGGGTCCTGTCCCTGAGGTGGGAAGGCAGAAGGGACATGGAGCCACCTAAACCCAGAGGGCCAGATGCTGGCCCCGTGACAGGCTGTGGGAGGGGCAGGGGTGTCTGTTTGGTCCTCACTGAGTTTAAAAAGCAAGCCACCAGAGCAAGCCCAGTCCTGTGTCCATGAGACAAAGAGCTCGCGATGAGGGCCTGGCCCTCCTGGGGCTGGACGGGCTGGGCACAAGGCCTAGGGTGTCCCTGGGCCTGAAGCTCTCCCAGGTGTCACCCAGTGTCCATGGCGCCTCCTGCTGATCCCAGGTGGGGCCTGACACTCTGAAAAAAAGGAGCAGGCAACTTCTATCTCCCTCGCCCTTGACTGCTCTGAAGGAGTGTGGAGTGGCGGGCAGAGTCCCTGGGCCTGAGGGCGTGGCTCTCCCATGCCAGACCCTCTGTGGGGTCTGCAAGGTGAGAGATGCGGGTGACACGGGCCTGGGATGGCCCAACGTACTGTCCTCCCCTACTGCTGACAATATCCACATCTTCTGTCCTGCCCGCTGAGATGGCTGTCCTTGGACATGGAATTCCTTAACAGGGTCTAAACGTCCCTCTCACCTGGGTCACCAAAGCCAGGTGGCTAGAAGGGGGCGTGGCTGGGTGACAGGGCCCCGCTGTGCAGCCATGTGCAACCGACCGACAGAGCACCAATGACCAACTTCCTCTTGGCTGGGCCCCACAATGCCTTGAGGAAGGGATCACTGTCCCATTTTACAGTTGGGAAAACTGAGCCCAAGAGGTGTATTAACATGCTCCAGGCCACCCACAGAGGCAGCAGCAGGGGCTTCCAGCGTAGTACTCCTCCCACAGCACCCTGTGGGGACCTGCCACCCTCCCAGCTGGGCCCGCTGTGCAGGTGAGCCCACTCTAATCTGGGCTTTGCAGCTGAGGACGCCCATAGGGTGCAAATAACTCGGCCCTTGTCTTCAGGGAGCCGACCATGCCTCTGTTGGCTGGGGTGCTAAGGCAGCGCAGCTGGCACCGTGCTCAGTGCACTGTACCCGGGGCATGCCCCTCCCCCCCGATTGGTCTGGATGCACTACCCACACCGCACTGTGTGGTTGGCATGGGAACAGACTGCCGTGGGCTGGTGCTTGGCGAGTCCTCAGTTCCACTCCAAGGCCTCACAGGACAGGCTGACTACAGAATGGATACGGCACCCCAAAGGTCACGTTTGGGGGTTACAGAGGGGGACAGGGGATGGGGTCTGGCACCCGACCAGAAGCCTGGAGATACGGGGCCCTCCTCTTCAGAGAGGCGCCAGAGGGGGTGCTGCAGCCTGAGTGTCCCACACGGTCACGGACAGCGCTTGGCCAAGGGCAAGTGGCACCGACGTCCAGCCACACAGCAAGCTGTGCATTCCGGTGTGGGTCTGAGTCCACCAGGAAGGGGCCCGGTTGTCTAATTCACATCAAGGCACTGTGGGGGCCAGCAGCAGCAGCCAGGGAGCCCAGGAGACAGGACATCCCCTCAGCAATGTTCTGGGCTGTGAGCTTCCTGAGGGCAGGGGCCAGGACAGCCCTGTCTCTGCAGCTTCGACGCTGGGCACAGGGCAGGGGCGTCCTCGGAAGAACATGGTGAGGCTGAGTCCAGTTAAACTTGGCCATTGACCTTGTGCAGTCTAGGCTCAAAGGGCCAAGGACAGACAGGGCTCGGAGAGTGGCTGGCAGCTGGAGACATTTCAGTGAAATGCTGGGATGAACCAGAAGGGGTGGCAATGACGAAGAAGCTCGAGGCCAGCCTGATGAAGCTTCTGTATACCTACATCAGGGATGGGGGATGAGGGCTGCAGGGGACTGGTCACCCCACATGCTACAGGGCCTTGCCATTGGCCCCAGAGGAAGACGCTGGAGAGTACGCTTGCCGTGTGCCATCCAGCATGTATTCCATCAACTCTACGAGGGTCCTTCAACAAGTGATGGGAAAATGGAATTCAAAGGTTAAGTTTATTGGTGCAAAAAAAATATTGAGATCCATGCATAGTTTTTTTTTCATAATACACATTTTCCATGAACTTCTTGAAGACCCCTCGTACAGCTGCCCAGAGGAGGTGCAAACTGCCCAGCAAGCTCTGGTAGGGGCTGGGCCCCAGGACTGGCCATGGAGGGGCGCCACTGTCCCAAGATGACTTGGTTCTGACCCGGGTTGAATATGCACAAGATTCGGCAGGGGCAGAGGCCGAGCCTGGGAACTGAGCCATTTCGGGACAGCAGTGGTTGCAAAGCCCAGCTCCGGAGGCACCGGCCCTTAAAGGGTAAGGGTCCACCCTGCGGAGAAGCACGGTGGTCTCCCTTCTCACGCCAGGAGGGGATGGAGATGAAGGAGAGCAGATGCCGAGGGGCGTCCTTGTCCCGCTAGGCAACCTAGTCATGCGGTGGGCCTCGGGGTGTCCACATCTGCAGGGGACGCCCTATCACAAGCTGCCACCCAAGCCCAGCACACACAAGCCCCGCCCCTCCATAGGCCCCTCGGGCCCCAGGACAGAGCAGCTGATGCAGGCTGTGGCCTCACTGGACATCAGAGAAGCCCCCCACCCCACAGCGTGCGCTCCCCATGGGCCTGATGGCCTTCCCAGGCCTAGAGGCCAGGGGAGTGGTCACATGCTCTGGAGGCTCTGGCCACCTCTGAGGCCCAGCCAGGGGCTCTGACTGCTGCCCACAGCCAGGAGGGCCCTCTTGTGATCATCTGGTCAACTGCTTGGCTTTCCAGGTAGGAACTGAGGCCCAGAGAGGGGAAGGAACTCGCCGTGGGTCACACAGCACATTAGCATTGAATGCCAGATGAGAAAGATGTCTTGGAACACCTTCTTCTCCCTCACCACGTGGGGAGCAGCAGCCAGCAGGTGGCAACTGCTGGGCCCTCACGCTCGCCAAGGACAGAAGGGGTTCCTTGCTCCCCAGCAGCCTCCTCTTTGGGTGAGTGCCTCTCGGTGGGCACTGCCACCTTCTGGGAAGGAACCCCTGGTCCTCGGGCAGGGTGTCCTCAGGCACTTGCACCCGGGCTGCAGGGCCAGCCCAGCCCAGGCGGGAGGTCTGCAGGGGGAAGCAGGAGAACACGCTGGCAGCATCGGCGGCAGCGGGCTGGCGGGGTCGGGGCCAGCCGCCCCTGGACCTCCAGCCTTGCCTCCTGTGTGATCGCCTTAAATCCTCAGAGGCAGGAGCACAGGACAGACTTTAGTCTTCCCATCCCCACCTCCCAAAGCCTCCCTCCTTGGCCAGGGGTGGGTGTCTGCGAAAGAGCCCCTCCCCTTCCATGCACAAATACAGACAGGTGCACCACATCAAATACAGGCTAGCGACGCCGCCACGCCCCCCGCCAGGCTACAGTCCACTCGGCTAGCTCACACGGCCTGCCTTGGTCTAGAGAGGCTGCTGGTAGCGAAGTCAGACCAGTTGCTCTTCTCCACTCCTGGGGCCTAGGAACCTTCACCAAAGTCAAAGGGGCAGGGGGAAGAGCAGGGGAGGTCTTTGGCGCTCCAAACCGCACAAAGGCATGGCCAATCCATCAGGGGGGTCTGGCCTTGCAGCCAGGAGAGGGTGGCCTTCAAGGTGGCCGTCCTCTCGCTGCCAGAACTGCGCTAACCACCTGGGACTGTGCTCGTGGTCTCCCGCATCCGGGGCCCGCAAGCCCACCCCGTGTCCTCCTGCCCGCCCCCGCCGCCCCCTTCCTCTCCCCCATCTCCGGCCACCCCGAGGCCAGAGGCGGCCTTTCTGGGATGAGGAGCGGGCCAGGCGGAGAGCTGAGTGGGCAGAGGAGGTGAAGGGCGCACCGGGTCCGGTCGGCGTGGTGACGCAGGCCCTGTCGGCATGGTGACGCAGGCCCGGTTCTGAGGCCCAGGAAGACCACTGGGCCCCCCCAGGGAGAAAGTGGAAGAACAAGGGGGCGGGGCTTGGGGTGGGGACACCAGAACAGGAAGTAGACGAAGAAGCATCCTAGTGCCTGAGACCTGGAGCCGCCCCGGGAGGGCCGGCCCCAGCCTATCTGTGGTTGAGCCGCGGGGAGCCTGTAACGTCATCCTCTTCCTCCTTGTCGTCCTTCATGCCCTTCAGTCTCTGGCGGGCAAAGTCCTCAAACACAATGTCGTCATCACTGGGGGAGAGACGGGAAAAATGCGGCGTGTTTGCAGGGGCGTGAGAGCCAGCTGCTCTGGGTCCCTGGAACCTCTGGCCTCCGGGGCTGACCCTGGGCAGGAAGGCCAGCCTGGCTGGCCCATCTGGATGCCCACCGGTGGCAGTGGGGGTGGTCACACGTGGACTAGAGCGGCTGGGGGCAGGAAGCTAAGAGCCAGAAAAGCGACCCAGTTCTCGGGGGCCTGGCCACGTGCCTCAGTGCCCAGAGAAGAAAGGATCTCCAGGTCGGAGGCCAGGCCCCAGGAGTTTCACTCCTATTCTCAACCCCACCAAGACCCAAGAAACCCCACCCACCAAAAACCCGGCCAGGGGAGGCATGCCTGGCTCTGGCCCGGAAGAAGTGGGCTTGGCTTACTGCACGAGACAGCCTCAAAGGGCTTGCGGCAGGCTCACAGTCCATCCTGAGCCATCCAGAGCTGGCGCGGGGCGTGGGAGGGGGAGGCCTGACTGGGGCTGCAGGGCTAAAGGCCACATCTATGAAAGCAGGCTCTCTCCTACCCTAAAATCTGTCTACTCGGGACCCCACGGGAGCCACCAAAGCTCCCTGCCCCACATCCTGCCGCCAACATGTGGGGCATCCCGGTGGGGAGACTGGACACCCCACATGCCAGAATCCTCCTGGGGGACAGGAGCTGGAGGGAGAAAACCACCTGGGGGTGGTTCTCGCTGTCCGGGACCACATGGCACACCCCATGGGTCAGTCCTCCAGTCCCAGACCCTGGCCCGCCCCGCAGCCTGATTCCATTGGTGGGGTGGGGTGTGGGCGGGGCCCCGAGCCAGCCCTGTGTGAGACGAGCAGGCGCAGGCGCTGTGGACGGACGGACGGACGGGTGGACGGACGTGCAAGGACAAGGAAGGAAGACAAACCCCACCAAGGCAGGAGGAAGAGGAACAGGCACGAGGGTCCTTCAAGTCACATGCAGGCAAGCGGGTTGCTGAGGAGGCGAGCAGAGGCGGCTCTCAGCTGATGGGGTTAGACCACCTGCTCCTCAGGGTTAATAAGCGTATATGCAAATGACCTCTCCGCCCCCCCCCGGCCCCGCCCTGCCCCGCAACCCCCCAGACCCCAGCAGGCAGGGTTCCGCTTACTTTGTGTCAAGTTCTATGAGATTGGTATCTACCGGCGTCTCGTTCTCTGGAACTGAACACAGGGCAGGGGGCGCCCAGGGGTTAGTGCGTGGGGAGACATGGAGGTGAGTGGGCACAGCCCTCCACCCCGGGACTGCCAGGCTCAGTAGGGGAGGGTCAGGGAAGAAGGGGAACGTGGAAAAGGGGGCCTGCCAATCATCTAAGGCCATGGAAGGGCCCTGAGTGGCCACAGGAGCAGGGCAACCTCGGGGTACTGGCTCCAGCTCACTTCAGTGCACTGCCTAGCATGCGAACCTCCCACTAACTCTGACCTCGCTGAACTTGAGCTGTGTTTCAAAATGGAGTTAATATCAATGAACAATCGGGCGCCTCCAGGAATGGTATGCTGGGGGTGGGGGGGCTCTCGTCCACGCAGCCCTTCCCCCTAGTGCGCACAGGACCCAGCCCAGGCCTTGCTCCCCCACGGAGAAGACAGTGAGGGCCAGCTGTGTCCCACTGGGGCCCACGGCAGACGGGAGTTGTGGGACCCACGGGAGATCCTGGGGAGCTGGGGAGAGGGTGCACCAGGCTGAGGCTGACCTGGAGGGAGAGGTGCGGCAGGCAGGGGAGGAGGGAGTGGGCCCCCTGAAACCCTCACGGCAAGGACCCTCCCAGTCCTGCTCACCTTCCCGATGTGGGGGCTCCTCTTTGGGCTTGGGGTGCATCAGGGTGAAGGGCAGCTCCACGGCCACGTCACTGAAACAGAGAGCCAGGCCTGCTGAGCCCAGGCCTCAGCGGGAGGGCTGCGGAGGGCTCTCTGGCCCTCACTCTGCACTCTCCAAGATGGAGATCTTTCTAGGGGAGGAATGTAGGAGACCTCCTCCCCTGTCCCTGATGGAAACAGAACTTCCCCTTCCTGGATCAGGGCCCCCGGACACGGGGGCACGACTGCCCAGGCCAGTGCACACCATGGCCACTGGGGGCCCTGCAGGTGCCCTGAGCCCCGCCCATCTCAGACGGCCACAGCCACCTCGGCCCTTCCCAACTCCTGGCTGGGAGTGTGCCCACCCCTCCCAGCACCTAAAACAGTGCCCAGCTGACCCTGGATACCTGCCACCTGCAGGAGGCACGGCTAGAGGTACATTTTACCAGTGTCGGGTCAGCTGGGACCCAGGGCCCAAGGCTGTCCACACAGGTTTGTGGTGAATGGGAGGCATCAGCCACCGGCCAGGGCTTTGGACTTGACCTTCTCTGCCGGGTCCCTGCGGGGCAGGACAGGGAGGGCAGAGATTTCCACGGCACTGACTCGGCCAAGGACTCTCCTGGGCACTTTCCATAAAGCAACTCGTTGAATCCTCACAACAACTGTATCATTGCCCCCAATGTATGGGTGGAGAAACTGAGGCACAAGGAGATGAAAGCATCCTGCCCAAGGCTACACAGCTATTCATGGGGAGTGACAGAGGATTCTGGCTCCAGGGCCACACCCTTCAGCACTGTGTGACAGCAGCGGCCTGAAGCCATCTTGGAGCAACACCCTTCACCCTGGGATCTCCATCCCGACCCTGACCCATGGGCACCTCCAGGGTCCGGCTGGGGAGTGGAGCAGTCAGGGGCGTAGGCTGAGCTGAGAGTGGATCCCGCCAGCCCCGCCACTCACTGGCACAGCACTGGGGTCCGGAAACCTCTGCTGAACTCAACCGAACAGAGCTGAATGACTTTCCTCTCACACTGGACTAAGTATTCTTGGGATGCTTGGCCAGGGATGCTTGGCCAGGGAGAAGCCAGGGCGTGCATCTTAGGAGGGTGGGTCTATCCGGCTGGCACCCAGGCCATCTCATGCACAAATGTGGCTCCCCGAAGGGCCTCTCCTTGGCTCACCAGCGGGCAAGTCGGGAAGTCACAAAGCCTGCACTTCTAAATACCCTGTAATCCAGTAGCTCGGGAATTCAGTGATTTGCTGCTGGCGAGAGCTGAGGACTAGCAGGGCGCAGCTTCCTGAGTAGATACTGTGTCTTTCTCGAGAGCATTCTGGCATCAGCACGCACCTGACCTTGGCCATCTGAAACGGCCACTAAGGGTCCTTCCAACCCAGCGCCCCATGCCCCTGCTCCATGGGGTATCTGGGCCCTGCAGGAAGGTAATCAACCAGGCCAAAGCGAGGGACATTACCTGGACGCAAGATCTCCCAGCAGGCTGGGTGGGTCAGAGGAGGCAGGAGGAGTGGTCAGGAGAGTTGAGAGAGGAAAAAACAGAAAGCACATTCATTCACCACCTCTGCTGCCCCTCAGACAGAGCAGACCCTGGGACATACACGCCCCCCTCCCCTGGGGGCGCACTGCCAAGCTCAGCAGGCCCTTTCCTTCGGAAAGCAGGTGCACACGTGAGCTCCGGGGCCGCCACGGTGGCACAGGGCGCCAAGCCGCTGCCTGCGATGCGACATCCCACACCGGAGGCACAGGTCTGAGTCCCGCCCAGCTCCGTGCTAACACGCCTGGGAGGCAGCAGGTGATGGCCCAAGTAATGTGGGAGACCGGATAGAGTTCCAGGCTCCTGGCTTCAGCCTGGCCCAGAGCTGGCTGTTGATGCCATTTGGAGAGTGAACAGGGGGTGGAAGATCTCCTCCCTCCCCCTGCAAAAAAAAAAAAAACCCACTCCAGTGCTGCCTGCCCTGCCTGTGGTTCACCAGGAGCACTGCACAGGAGACGCCATGTCTAATGGATTTAGCTTTTCTTTTCTCTTTTAAGCTTTTATTCATTTATCCGGGAGGCAGAGACACAGAGAAAACTCCCATCCGCTGGTTCGCTCCCCACTGAACTGCAACAGCGAGGGCAGCCGAAGCCAGGAGCCAGGAACCCAATCCAGGCTGCCTGTGTGAGTGGCAGGAAGCCAGCTCTCTGAGCCACACCGCCGCCTCCCAGGGTCCCCATCAGCAGGAAACCAGCGCCAGGCCTCAAACGCAGGTGCTGTGGCACGGGCATCCTCAACCCGCTGCACACCTGCCCCTACACGGCTGTTCAACCTCGCTACAGACACTCCTAAACTAAGTCAGAACAAGTTCTCTGACCCGTGAGAAATCCCGGTTCCGGTGTATAACACGTCCGTCCAGGACGTGGGGAGAGGGGAGGGCTGCTCTGAGTCCCCACTGACGAACTCTGCTCGGGGCAAGGAAGCACCTGGTCCCCGGCTGTGACCCCGACACCCAGGCCGCACCCTGACCTTCATGGGGGTGGCAAACTGTGGGCCTCAGCTTCCTGCCCTGTAAAACGGGAAAGCCAGGCCAGCCAGCAAACCCCCAATCTGCCTGAGTCCCTTGGGCTATGTCCCCAGCGGGAGTGGGGTGGGTGCTGCACTGCAAGGTGGGTGAGGGGCTCAGTCCCCCCGGGACCCCCAGCATGGATGTCCTCCCCTGGGGCCCTGGCCGACCCTCAGTGCACGCTCCAGACACAAAGAGGAGGGTGAGGATGGGGAGGAGGAAGAGAAGGGACAGGAAGCCTCGTGCCCAATCCTGCTGCGAACGAGAAGATGGACCGGAAGGCAGGGGAGGGGGGCGGGGGCTGTGGGCGCGGACGGCCCCTGGGTGCCCTCAGGCTCAGCTCCCGCACTCACCCGCCCCGTGACACCACCAGCTTGACTTTCACTTTGTAGGAGACGATGATGCCCAGGATCTCGCGGTTGGCCCCTTCCCGCATCCTGTGGGCGACAGGGGAAGCTGGCTGGGAGGCCGATGTGGGTGTGCGGCAGTAGGGGCAGCGGCCACCGTGTCCCACGGGCCTCCCTCCCCTGGCCGCAGCCCTGCTCCTCCCACCCTCCAGGGAGCCAGCGGCCACGGGGGCCAGGGGCCAGGGCTCAGGGAAGGCCTTCTGGGAGACCTGGAGGATGGCGGGAGTGGGGGGTGGGGGGCAGGGGCAGGGAGCAGGCAGGTCAGCGGGCAGTCCAGGCGGGGGTGGTGAGGACACAGTGTAGCCAGAGCCAAGGGACCACATTCAGAGTGGACCAAAGTCCCCAAGGGAGGGTGGCATGACTGCTTCTCCCGCAGGGCCTTACCAGAGCAGAGAGGCCTGGAGAATCAGAGGGACAGGGGCAGCCACGTGGTCCTGGGGCAGCCCACACCTCGTGTGGCCCAGCTCGCCACCCCACCCCTCCTGTCCACCCTCTGCCGCCAGGGCCCTTCCAGGCGCCACTGCCTTCCTCCCAGCCTTGCGGGTCAGCAGCTGCCACCTCTTACAGGAAGCCTTTCTAGGTTGCCTCCCCCCGAGTGACTGACAGAGCAAGGCAAGTGGATCTAGCAGTCTGGGGGACAGCCTCCCTGACAGGTCGAGCTCCTAAGGGCAGCCCAAGCTCTGTCCTCACACTGGCGCACGGCAGGCGTGGGGGTGGGGGGCAGGGCCTCACAGGGTGCTGGAGGCCAGGTTCGTGTCCTCGTGCTTGAGCTTCCCATCCAGGGCGAGGCCCCGCTTCTCTCGGTTGTTGGCCAAGAAGGGGGTGAGCGTGTAGACCTTGCAGAACGTTGAGCTGGGCGCCACAGTGTCGCTGGGAGGAAGAGAGGCAGGTGTGGACTCGTTCCCCCTCCCCCTGCCAGGACACCCAGCCTGGCCCCACCCCGGGCAGGCAGACCACTGCCCCACGACATACACGGTCCAGCCGGGTACACTGCACTAAAAGCCACCGCACACACCCCGCACCCGCCACCTCGGTCTATGGTCTACACCGAGGACCTGCTGGGGGCGGGCACGCGGCCTGCTGGTTAAGACACCACTCGGGACGCCGGTTTCCCTCACTGCAGGGCCTGGATTCGCAACGGGGCTCCAGCTCCTGAGCCCAGCTTCCTGCAGTGTGCACCGTGCGCCCTGGGAGGCAGCGGGGATGGCTCAGTGATGGGCGCCTGCACCGAGTTCCTGGCTGTTCCCCTCCCCTGCCTCCATCCTTGCCACCTGTGGTGGGCGTCTGGGGAGGGACCCAGCAGCCAGGAGCTCTGTCTGCCTCTTAACAGAGTACAGAAAACCCGGAGTCTGCTGCTCTGTCTGTCCTGGGTCTGTCCATCACACACAGGGCACTTAAGTGTCCCATGTTCACCTGCTTCTGCGCCAGCCGCCCTCCCCCACTGCTGCCCAGGGCCAGGCCCAGGCCCAGCTTGCGCACCGCGGCTCCGCGAGGCCAAGTGAGTGAGTCATGTGTCTGGGAGCCCAGTTCCGATGCACACATGGCCTGGGCCACCGCCACCTCTGCCTCCCGCTGTGTGTTGTGCGGGTGCTGGCACGCCCTGCACAGCCTGGGAGAGCAGGCGAGGGGCCTTCAGGAAGTCCGTGCAAAAGTGCACTCGAAGCAAACTGCGTGTGTATTTCAAACTTTCTGCACCAAAATAAACCTCTCTTTCAATTTTTTTTTTTTTTTGACAGGCGGAGTTAGACAGTGAGAGACAAAGAGACAGAGAGAAAGGTCTTCCTTTTTCCATTGGTTCAGCCCCCAAATGGCCGCCACGGCCGGCGCGCCTCCACGATCCGATGGCAGGAGCCAGGTGCTTCTCCTGGTCTCCCATGGGGTGCAGGGCCCAAGGACTTGGGTCATCCTCCACTGCACTCCCGGGCCACAGCAGAGAGCTGGCCTGGAAGAGGAGCAGCCGGGACAGAATCCAGCGCCCCAACCAGGACTAGAACCCGGGGTGCCGGCACCGCAAGGCGGAGGATTAGCCAAGTGAGCCACAGCCAGCCTTTTAATTATGTTTTGAAAATTATTATTTGAGAAGCAGACAGAGACAGACAGAGACAGCTTCCCTCTGCCGGTCCCTCCCCTCGGGGGCCCTCGGGGGCTGAGACTAAGCCAGGAGCTGGGAACTCATCCAGGTCTCCACACCCTTGAGCCCCCGCTGCCTCCCAGGTGTGGCATCAGCAGGAAGCTGGAGCCAGGACTTGAACCCGTCCACTCATCTGTTGACTCCATTTTCCAGGAAGTGTTTGAAGTCACCCTGTGTGTTGCTCGGGCTCTGGGTCCCATCACTTTACCTCTATGCACCTGCGGCTCTGTTATTGTTGTCTTAATGAATGGTGACTGTAAGAAACAGCCAATGATAGAGCAGTGTTGGCTCTGATCAGGGCATGCTCACCCACGGGACAGGAGAAACTAGCCAAGGACTACGTGGTAATACTTTCAAAATGTTTTGAGTTGAAGAAATCCGGACTGCAATTATATGTAAACATATACAAGTGTGTGAGGTTACATAAGGCACACTGCCAAAAAAAATATTTGCAGGAACTTCTAACGGGAGCGCCTACTGCGTTTAGGTAATTAAAGATGTTTCACCTGCAGTCTCTGCTCCTGCCTTGGCACCAAGCTGGGGACGAAGTTCTGCTGCGGCCATAGCAGCCCCCCTCAAACCCAGAACTTCTCGGGGTACCCTCCCAAATGACTCCTTTCATGGGAAAAGCTGTACACCCTCTGCCTTACCCTCTTTGCCTTGGCTACCAGGAAGCTCAGTGCCAAGTCCTCCCTTCAACCTGGGTTTCTGACCTTGTATGATTCCCCCTCCCCACAGCTCCAGTCCCCTTACATTCACCAGCCTTTCTTTTGTCATTTCTGTTTTTCCGGGTCTTTCCCTCGACTAGAGAACTTTTCATGGCCTTCTGGAAGGCTCTTGCATCTCCCACCCTGCGGGGCAGGAAGGTCAGGGCCCAGGACTCCTTTCCCAACACTTCCCGTGTCCAGCACAAGGCATCCGCTCACTTACTCGGCCTCCTCCATGGCCACAGGGCACTTGTACTGCGCGGTGTTGAAGAGGCAGATGTCTGCGTACTGGCGCACTGCGGTAGGGGACAGCAAGGTGCGTGAGCCCTTGGGGCAGCCGGAGGGGAGACCACCTTCATCCTGCCCCCCAGTGGCGTGGCCTGAGACCCCCCCCCCTTCCCTTCCGGGACAGCTCCGCCCCAAACCCGGGACACCTAGGAGACACAGGCGACTGACAGGTGACCTGGCCAATAGAAGGCCGGAGGCACCAACAAGCACCACGCCCGCGGCTCGAAGCTGGCAGGGAGGAGGCCGCTAGCAAGGGCAGGTAGGTCCCTGGGCCATCCCTCCTCGCCCGCCCCCGACCGGGTACCCGAGATCTTGATCTTCTTCACGGTCTTGTTGGTGTTGTTGGTGACGTGGACGTTGACACTGATGGGCTCCCCGTGGTAATAGATCTGGGAAGGCGGGAGGAGAGGGTTGGCGGGGAGGCCCCCCAGACCCGGCTGTTCAGACCGCCATCCCCGGTCCTGCGGCCGCAGTGCGCTTAAGTGCAGGCGGCATGGACGCCACCACGCCCGTGAAGCTTCAGCTTCCCAGCGGGGCGCTGCCCAGACCCCGCCCAGGTGAGCAGGTGGTGGTCCTGGGCCCCAGTCCCAGTCTGGCCACTCATAACCCTGGGAACAACAGTGACCATGACAGCAGCCTGACCGTGGGCCTCAGGGTCTTTGTGTGATGAGGGCCACGGCTCAGGTCCCTGCTGGCTCAGGCTGCGGGAGGGGGTGTGGGGGTGTGGACGGTGTTCAGACCGGGGAGGGTGAGGAGGGCAGTGCCGCTCGCAGAGGGTGCCTCAGCCCGCCTCCTGTCCCAAGCACCCGCCTGCAGCTGCCCCCAAGAGCCAGAGCAGGTGCCCACAGCTCAAGGAAGGGATCAGGAAGCTGGGAGCTTGGGGCGCCCTCTCCCTCCCGTGCAGCTTGCTGCCCAGGTGTTCACTGGGGGGAGGGGTGACCCGGCCCCTCCCACTGACACTGCTCCCCTCTGCCACTCCTCCAGGCCCTGGGAGGCTTCCTCATGTTCCCAGGGGAGAGCTGAGATGGCCTGACCTGTGACCCTAGAGCTGAGGTCTGAGGTCCAAGCCCCCTGCCCACAGGCCCGCGTTCCCTACCTCCTTATCCAGGGAGGCCTCCAAGTGCAAGGGCTTGTCTGACATGAGGAACTGCCTGGTGGTCTCAGCCGTGGGCTGGGGGCCGGGCCTCTCTGGAGCATACTGAACCTTCCGGATGACCAGACGCACGGAGTTCCTGGTAGACGTGGGAGGAGGGAAAGGTGACCAGAGTCCCCCGCCCCGGGCCCCTCCTCGTGTCCCCCATAGCCCTCTTCTGCTCCGCAGACCCCCAGGCCCCATCGCCTCAGGAAGTTGACATAATCCCCCACCGCCAATTCTTTCCGTCCCAGAACCACCTGGGGCAGCTGCTTTTGGGGAAGGCACGCTGGTCTCTGTCTTATTCCCCGTATCTGCCAAGTGAACACATGCAGAGGGCCCAGGAGGAGCTGGGGTTCGGCATGGGGAGCATGCCAGGAACGAGGGGGCAATCGGTGAGAGACGGAGCCCACAGGTGACATGGGCTCAGTGAAGGGGACCCGGCTCCAGCCAGGACTTGCGGAGCTAGTGAGAGCGTGGAGACTCCATATGCTGCGGTCTCTGTGGCATGCTACACACGTGAGCACCCGTACTGCTCCCTCCCCTGGAACTGGAGAGCCAGAGCCAAGCACCCACCTCCCCTCTTATTAACTGTGCTGCTTCCCTGGGCCTCAGTTTCTACATCTGCAAAGTGGGGACAGCAGCAGACCAACCCAGTCGAGTCACCGAGAGGATTGCATTAGTCCATCACCTAGTAAGTCCTTGGACAATGGTGGCTGCACATCACTACTCCTAGTAACCCTTTGGTGTGGACTTGAGCGGTCCCGTGGGGGTGGGCTGAGCGTGGCGGCTCAGTGTTGCCTCCTCTTGCTTGCTCGGTTGAGCCCCGTCCCCCTGTCCACTGCACCCTTCCTTACCCGGCGTCAAGAGGCAAAGGGGGCAGGGAAGCAGGGAGAAAGGTCTCCCCACACCAGGACTGAGGGGGCCAGAGGGAAATGCCTGCAGTACACCCTGTGGCCACCAGGTGGCAAACACAGCCCACTAACTGGGGCGGGGGGAGCTGAAGCTTCCCATGGTGCCTCAGGAGGGAGGCCCTGGGAGGGCCGGGGTGAGGGGTCAGGGCCAGCAGGGCCAGCTGTCCGTGCTGCCAGACTGGGCTGTGCCCTCCAGGAGGAAGCTTCCTCTCTGAGGCAGGGGCTCACGTCCCCTCCCCTCATCCTGGGGGGCTCCCGTTCCTGTCCTCCTTTGCCCAGAAGCCTCTGAGACCCCCCACCACACACACACACCCCCTTCCTGCTGACCGCCTCCTCCCAGGAGGGAAATGGGCCGGCCTGGGCAGCCTGCTCCCCGTCCAACAGAACCTGCAGCCTTCCCTAAAGGCTATGTAGTCTGGAGAGCAGAGCAGGGGAAGGAGGAAGCAGCTACAGTGGTGCAAAGGAGAAAATGCTGGGGCCTGGGCCGGGGCAACTGAGGCCACCTCCCCAGGAAGCCCTCCAGGACCTGCCTTCCTTTCACATGCGCCCCCCTACACACACACACTTCCAGGGATTGTGACTTATCTCCTCTTCAGACTCTGCCCCTGCTGCCTGCCCCTCCCTCTCCCAGCAGGCAGGGCGCAGCCTCCTTACCGCTTGTGGATCTTCTCCTCCAGGTTCTCGGCGCAGAAGGCTTTGACTTCGTAGTCCACGCCACAGGCCTGCGGGCAGGGGGCACTGAGCACCGGTGCCCAGAGCTCAGCCAGCCCGCCCCTCACGTTACCAGCTTGCCGCTCCGGGTCTGACTCCCAGGTCCTCGGCCCTCCTTGGCGGCTGCCTCCTCTGCCTGCCTTCCCAATGAGCTGCTCCCCAACTCCCCCCAACACCGGGTGGCCCAAACCTCCCTGTCTGGGCTCTGCTCCTTCTTCTCCTGCTGTGGGCTGGGAGCCGTCCTCACCGAGGCAGGGGCTGGGAAGCGGCAGCAGGTGCCGGGGTGGCAGCACCGCTCGGGAGCACCTGCTGTGGGCAGAGCCCGCACAGGCGCTGGCTGGTGACCCCCGGTCCTGACCACAGGAGGGCCACATCCTACTCATCCCACTTGGCAGAAGAGAACTGGGCTCCTGCGGTACTGGCTCCTGCGGCACTTCCCCCCGAGCCTCGTCCCCATCTGGGGACAGTGGTCACACCACAGCACAGGGTCACAGGGAGGCGGTGGTAGGTGCTCAAAACACTCTGGTCCTGCAGCCAAGGAGAGGGACCCGGTGAGCCCCTGGACACCTCACTGAAGTGGGGACGGAGGCTGATTCGGCTCAGCCGTGCTGTGGCTATCCGAGGCGGGACTGGCCCAGCTCAGACCCAAGGAAGCTCCAACAAGGCAGGTGGTCCTATGGGTCCAGCACCAACCAGGGAGAAGGCCAGGACCTGGGGACAAGAGGGCCCTGGACCAGAGAGATTCCCCTGGGGTGACCTACCTTGCCCGTGTCCTCGGGCCCGGGCTGCAGTGTCACAGAGCATGGCAGGTTTGGAGGAATCTGTTCAGGAGACAGAACGAGCCACTGTCACCCGCACTCCTGCCACTCCCACACATCATCACACCAGGCCCTTGAGAGCCTGTGCCTGTCCCATCAGATGAGGGCCCCGAGGACAAGACACGTCTCCCCCATCAGACTAGAGGCTCCCGAGGACAAGCTGGGCCTCCCCATCAGACCGTGCCATGCCATGCCTCCCGCAGCCCTGTCGTCGCGGTCATAGCAGGGAAGGAGGCTTCCTTGGCGTCTGCTGCAGAGTGACGGCCCCCAAGGCTGCCTGCCCCCTGCTGCCCCCAGCCTGTGGCTAGGTCACCTTCCACAGCAACACGACTCTGCAGCTGCGACTGAGTCAAGGACCTGGGATTGTGGGGGAGGCGGTAATCCAGGTGGGAGGGGGGGAGGTGGTAATCCAGGTGGGAGAGGCAGTAATCCAGGTGGGGGAGGCAGTAATCCAGGTGGGGGGAGGCGGTAATCCAGGAACACGGCCACACCAGCACCCAGATCCAGGCCCGGCAAGACCCATATCAGACTTGCAGCTGCCAGAGCTGTGAGATCACCCACGTCAGCTGCCTTAATCGCTGTGGGTAATCGCCCGGGGCCTGCGGGGCAGTGCAGGAAACTCACATCCGCACAGAGAGACGCCCGCAGCCCGCCTGGCTCTAATGCCCACAGCATGGAATCAGCCTAGGAGCTCGGCGTTCTGGAACCCAGAATCTGGGTCTTGGAATCGGCAGGGGGCAGGGCAGGGCATTGGAGCTGGGAGGCAGGCGGGCCCAGCGATCTGGGGCCACACAGCACAGTGCTCCTTCTCTCTGCGGCCCCTGGGTTCCCCTCCCTCCTACTCAGCGGGGATCCCACAAGTAAGGAGGACGCTCTAGCAGTGACCAGAGAAGAGACAGGTACCAGGTCACGTAAGTGCCCCAGGGCCCAGCATACGTGGGACAAGTGGGTGACACGGAGCAGCTGCCCCCTTCCGCCCTTCCAGAAGGGGCCCGAGGGTGGCAGTCCCTGACCTCAAAGGTAAATGGGTAGGCGTGCTCGCCCAGCTTCTTGATGAGCCGCTCCTGCAGCCGCGTCAGGGGCTTCTTGTCCTCAGGGGCCGGCGGGAAGGACTGCACGTTGGCCACAAACAGGTCCTTGCGAAAGGTCAGGCCCAGGACGTCCAGGTCCTCCCGGCCATAGCGGAAGGCGCAGGTGAGTGTCACATAGACTGTGGGGGAGCAGGGGCCACTGAGGAGGGGCCTGGAGAGCAGCAGGGAGCCTCCCCCACCCAGAGCTCCCGCTGCAGCCCGGCGGTCACCCATCTCCCTTTGGAGAGGCCAGGACTGGGGGCCTGGAAGGGCAGCCCATGGGCTGTGTGCCTGTGGGTGTGTTGCCGGTGGCTATCTCTGTCCCACTCTTGCCTGGTTGGGGTGGGGGCACAGGGAGTGGTCTGATGGGCAGTGAGGGCTGGGGCTGGTGGGCAGGGGACAGCAGGGGAGGGCGAGCTAATGCTGGGAGGTGTCTGCCAGGCATCTCGTCCCTTCCTCCCGCTGACCCTGCAGAATCCCTTCCCCTCCCTGGGGCCCTGTCCTAACTCCTGCTCTGTCGGCATCCCCAGCCCTCACTGGTGTGAAAGGGCTGGGGCAGGAGGCCCCACTAGGGATGGGCAGGGAGTGGCAGTGGGATGAGCCGGAGGCCCCCTGGGAGGCCAGGAGGTCCCTGGACAGAGGAGGCGTGGGAGAGGGGCCCCGTGGCAGGTGGGGGTGGGGCTGCAGCCTACCTCTCCTCTCTTTCAGGTATTCGGGATCCACCAGGACCACACCATCTGCGAGAGCACAGAGAGAGTGACCTTCCCAACCCCTGAGCCCCAAATGCCACCCTACACTCAATCCTCCATCCACCCAAACGCACCATGAGAGAAATGGGAAGGCCAACCCCGGGGGCGGCACCCCAGCCCCAGCCCCACCAAGCCCTCCCCTCCTCTCCCCCAGGTCAGCGGGATAGACCCAGCTGACTGGGTGGCTCCGGGAAGATTAGGGACCTCTCCTCATCTCTAAGGAAGAGTAATGACATGAGGCGGAGGGAGTGGGGCGCTGTGGCGCAGGGGGTTAAGTCACAGCTTGTGATGCCGCATCCCTTATCCGAGTGCCTGGAATTGAGTCCCGTCTCTACTTCTGGTCCAGCTGCCAGCTACGTGTACACTGAGAGGCAGCAGAGGATGGCTCAAGTGCTTGGCTCCCTGCCACCCTAGTGCAAATCTGGATGGAGTTCCTGGCTCCCGGTTCTGGCCTGGCCCAGCCCTGGCTGCGGTAGTCCTCTGGGGAGTGAACCAGTGGATGGAAGATCTCTATCACTCTCTCTCTCTCTCTCTGTCATTCTGCATTTCAAATAAATAAATCTTCAATAAAGAGAGGACAGTGACACAGGCTGGGAGACCCCAGGACCACACTTCGGAGCGGGGCAGTTCTGACTAGCGCATGTTCCATAGGTCCCACACTGTGCTCACAGGGCAAGCCACTCCCCCCTCCGCAAGGAAACCCAAGGCCGTCTGTTCCTGGCCCCAGCATTCACTCAGCAGTGGCTGCACAACAGGGCGGCCCTGTCAGGCAATGCCACCCAGGACACAGCTGCCTCAGCTTCTGCATGTGCACGCAGTGACGTCACCCAATGACACATCAGAAGGCAGACGCGCCACTGCGTTCACCCCTACCCCTCCCAGGCCAGCTAGGGCCCAGCCTCCCATCAGTTCCGGTCAAGTTCCACAGATAAACGAACTGTGCATCATGCCGAGGGACAGCTGCGGGACTTTCGAGCTTCTTGCATTTGGGGTTTGTGGGTCAGGGGCTGTGATCTGCATGGCTCACTCCCAGGGCTCCTGGGAAGACTGACTGGGGACACTGTGCAAAATGTCACACGTGTGAGCCACCCGGACAGAGTTTGGCAGGCGTGAGCCCTGTGGCCAGTGAGCGAGCAAGCTGGCCCTTCAGAGCACAGGCTCCAGCCGACCTGGCGCCAGCTCCCCAGGAGCCCAGAGACACTGGCACAGGGGCAACCTCCCGCCTCACCCATGTCTGTCTCCTCTCTGATCCCCACGCCCACCCCGGGCTGCCACAGGGCCACTCGTGATCTCAGAGGCTCTGGCTGGAAGTGAGTGCCACCCTGGCAGCTCCAAGTGACAGGGCACTGCCCACACACCTTCCCTCTGTTTTGTTTTTAAGATTTATTTATTTACTTCAAAGGCAGAGTAACAGAGAAAGAGAGGTCTTCCATCTGCTGGTTCACTCCCCAAATGCCCAAAACAACCAGCACTGGGCCAGGCCAAAGCTGGGATCCTAGAACTTCCATTCAGGTCTCTCATGCAGACGGCAGGGGTCCACGCACTTGGACCATCTTCTGCTGCTTTCCCAGGCGCATCAGCAGGGAGCTGGAATCGGAGCAGCCGGGACTCGAACTGGAACACCAGCACGGGATGCCAGCATCACTGGCAGCAGCTCAACCGGCTGTGCCCTAGCGCCGGCCCCTCTTCCTTCCTTGTATGGTGGGCACCTCCCCTGTGCCACATCCTGCACTGGGCACAGCGCAGAGGGAACCCCAGCCAGGGGAACTGACCCCAGCAGGGGTGTCATAGGGGGCTCCCTGGGGGAGAGGGGGCCACAGCCAGGTCTCACAGGACCAGGGAGGGCCTTCAGTTAGGTGACTGAAGGGTGGGACCAGGCCAGCAGCCGGAGGCCTGCACGGCTCTGAGGCCTGGGGCACAGATTCTGGAGGCTGGTGGAAGAGAAGGGCCGGGCCTGACCCCCCTCAGCCAGGCCGGGGACCGGGACCAGGGCCCAGGCTTGCCGGGGACTTAGTAAAGCAGAGAGGATGTAAATCAGATCAGGCCATGGGGCAGTGTCACTGTGCACCCCGCTACCACTCCGGACAGCACCAGGGGCCAGGAAGGTGCTTGGGTGGGTGCTGGGGTAGCCGCTTCCCTCCTGTGCTCACCCCTCCCGGCCTCAGGGCTGCCTCTGGCCCTGGCAGGTGACCTCAGAGAGCCCAACACAGACTCCAGCTTGAAGCAGGCCACGGGTGGCCACCCGGACGCTTGCTCACAGCCACTGAGAGCTGGGCTCAGGGAGAAGACACGGCAGCACAGGAGACCCTGAGCCACAGAAGACGTCACCAACCCCACACGGGGCTGAAGAGCAACAGTGGGCTCGTCCCGCTCCAAGCCACACAGGGAGGCAGCTGGGGTTGAGCTGGCCTGGGTGCAGTTTCCAGGCCCTGCCCACATTCCTCTGGCATGGGAGCCCCTCCCCCAGGTCTCTGTCCCCACTTCGCCAAGGGCACCCTGCGGCGATCCCAACCCTGCCACTGTGCTCTGCTCCCCTGGCTCTGAGGCCCTGTAGGTCCCTGCTGCCCTCTGAGCCACACAGCCCGCAGGGAGGTGACAACACAGACACAGTCTCTGAAACATATCCCCCAAGCGCTACATCCCAGGGCCTTCACCTGGGCTGGCCCCCTGCAACCTCCAGTCCCCATCCTCCAGCCTGTCACCTTTGACCTATCTCGAGTTTGTTCGTGTCCCTCTTTTAATAAATCACTCGTCAGGGTGGGTGCCGTGGTGCAATGGGTTAAGCCACCACATGGGATGCCTGCACCCCTTATCAGAATGCTGGTTGAGGGGTTGGTGCTGTGGTGCAGTAAGTTAATCCTCTGCCTGCGGCTCCAGCATCCCATATCGGCGCCAGTTCTAGTCCCGGCTGCTCCACTTCCAATCCAGCTCTCTGCTATGGCCTGGGAAAGCAGTGGAAGATGGCCCAAGTCCGTGGGCCCCTGCACCCATATGGGAGACCAAGAAAAAGCTCCTGGCTTCTGACTTCGGATCGGCACAGCTCCAGCGGTTGCGGCCATTTGGGGAGTGAACCAACAGAAGGAAGACCTTTCTCTCTGTCTCCTCTCACTGTCTGTAACTCTACCTCTCAAATAAATAAATAATAAATCTTTGGTCAGCGCCGCGGCTCACTAGGCTAATCCTCCACCTTGCGGCACCGGCACCCCGGGTTCTAGTCCCGGTTGGGGTGCCGGATTCTGTCCCGGTTGCCCTCTTCCAGGCCAGCTGGCTTCCAGGCCAGACCCCCCCCCGCACCGTGGAGGAGGATGGCCCCCATTTCACAAGCCCCAGGCTTGCCATCAGGAGGCAGCATAACACAGTGCCTCTGCAGAGCCAGACCGCGGGGCTGGAGCCGGGGCTCCCGCTCCCTGCTCTGTGCCCTGGAGCCTTTCTGTGCCTCACTCTCAGCTGTAAAGCAAGGTCTCCACTGTCTCCTACGTAAGAAGTCTCACAGGAGGTGGCGGCTCTGTCAGCACCGTCGTGGTCCTCCTCCTCCTCAGGGCACTCTCCCTGTCTCTCACCCCCATCCTGCCCCACCCCAACCCCCAAGCCTCCCGGCAGCTGGAGCAGGAAGCCACTCATGCCCCATCCTCAGGTCCAGGCGCCTCTGCAGGCCTGAGGTCCACTCCGGGAAGGCTTAGGCCAGCCCGGCCCCTCCCCGCCTGCCCTCCAGGGACTCACCCACAGGGTCCACGAGGTCAATATGGTCCACAAAGTCCCGCTTTCCCAGATAGACGGTGAGCTGGAGAGGGAAGCACAGGGGGTGTTGGCCAGCGCAGGCCTGGAGGGCACAGCTCCCTGCCCTGGAAGAAACCCTGGGAGCTGGCCCTGGAATACCTAGACCCGTCCCTAACCCTAATGGAGACCCTAACTACACTTGGACCCTCACCCCAACCCTGACGCTCAGAACAGCAAACACTTGCAACTCCCAAAAGCATCTGTTCTCAAAGCCTCATAAAGGAGGCATTACTGTTCCATTTTACAGATGAGGACACTGAGGCCTGGAGAGATCTTCATGCAAGCACCACCAAGCCTTGGCCTGGATAGGGCCAGGGCAGGCACGCTGGGCTTCTGGACTTGGGCCCCATGCAGCCTGGCAGGGAGCCGCTCACAGGAGGCTGCGTCCTGCAGCCCCCGGGCATCCCCACTCTTGCCATAGTCAAGTTCTGGGCCTGCCTCTGCCATCTGGCTGTCAGCAGCACGGGCTATGCCCGACCCACCTCAGCACACCCACAAGCCTGGCACGGAAGGCTGTCGGGCTGTGTCTCCGCTGTGCTGACAGGGAGGTGGGACGGGGCATGGAGCCAGGCCGAGAGCTGCCCTGGGTAAGGGGATGCCAGGGGCCTGGCACAGCAAGGGGGCCGGCTTACACCCAGCTGTGGTCCCCACCCCAGAGCGGGAGCTACCGTCTGAGCACAGCTGCGCCTCTCCGCAGCCGGGGCGGCCTCGGACCCTCTGTGCCTTCCAGAATAGAGGCCATTTCCTGCGCCGTCCTCACAGCAGGTGTAGGGCTTGGGCCATGGAGGGTGGGCTGGGAGGGACTCACCTTTCCGTTGGGGCTGGCCTTCTTGAATACTCTGTGGAGAGAAGGAGACGTGGGCAGGGTCAGCACATCCTCACGCAGGCCGGGACTCAGGGGCACCCTGAGGGTGCGACCTCCAGGAAGCCGCCTGTCAGTCCACTCCTGTCCGGGGCCTTACCTCCTGTGCCGCCCCTTGCTCCCCTCCAGCCCTCCCACTCCCCGCTGTGCCGCAGCCGCACCCGGCAATCGCTCTCCGGCAGCCTTGGCTCCTACCAGGCTCTCCCCAGAGAGCTGCTTGCTGAACCCCATTGCCGTATTCCATGCTGCTTTTTTCCATGTTCAATTTGAGAGACAGAAGACAGACAGGGGATACACTGGGTCACCTCCTCCACCACCACTACCACCACCACAAATGCCTGCAACAGCCACGGCTATGCCAGGGCTGAAGCCAGGGGCAAAGCCAGGAGACTGGAACTCAATCCGGACTCCCACATGGCCGGCAGGAACCCAGTCACTGGAATCATCACCTGCTGCCCCCAGGGTCTGCACTGGCAGGAAGCTGGAGTCAGGAGCTGGGAACACACCCCCCCCCCCCAGGCCCTCTGGTGTGAGACCAGTGGCTCAGCTGCCAGGCCAAGCTCCCACCGTGCACCCCACCCAGTCCCCATGCCTTCTCTGGCTCCACTTTTCCCTTCTACCATAGCACTTGCTGCTGTCCAACCTGCTTGGCCATTTGCTCATTCACAATGCGCCTGTCCTGTCCACATTGCTCGCCTGCGTGCTCCGCGGGCCAAAGATCTTTGTTTCTCTCGTCCATCGACCTATCCCAAGCACCCCGAACGACATACCCAGTCGCTGTTTAGTAACTACGTGCTGATGTTCAACAGCGCGTTAGTGGCAGGTAGCAAGCTCTCAATAAATACTAGTTGACGGGTGAATGAATGAGCTGATGAGCAATCAACTGCCTTGCTGGACTGAGAAACCGAGGCACGGGGAGAGGCGGGAATGTGCAGAGCATGGCACACGGAATCAGGCGGGGATGGAAAAGTGCTCCCTGGTGCTCCCTGGCTCTCCCTGCCCTCCGCGTCCTCCAGCTGGGCCTGGGAGCCTGAGAGCCCCCTTACCTGTCCACCACCCTCGAGCCCCAGCATTCCTCAGAGTAGCTGCTGGGAGGGAGAGGAGAAAAGTGAAAAACAGAGATGCAGACCCAGACAGAGGAGACAGGGGAAGGGCCGGGAGAGAGGGAGGAAGGAGGAGGGGACAAGGGCTCTGGTGATGTGCAAATACATGAGAGATGGAGAGACACAGAGACAGAGAGATGGAGCAGGTGCACACGAGGCCGAGAGGGAGGGAGGGAGGGACGGACGACACAAATCCCGCCCTGCAGCAGGAGGTCCAGCGGGCTTTCACCAGGGAGGAAGCCACTCCTCCAGGAAGGCCTGGCCCCACCCACCGCACCCCTCACTCACTTCTGCAGCCCCCAGGGATCACTGATGGGTCGGAGCATGGCTTGCAGAGAAGAGCCTGGCACATCCCTCCCCTACCTCCCCTAGGAGCCGCAGGCTTTCCTGCTCCTCATAAATATTTATCAGTGTTTGGAGTGTGAAGAAGCCACAGTTGACTGGGGTGTGATAACTGCCAGAGTGAGAAAAAAATACACTTCACACGGTTTGGACCGGCAGCTGCCAGGCTGGGGCTGGACCTGCAGAAGTGGCACATGCCATGGGGACCCAGCTGCTTCCAGTAAGCCGTGGTGCCAGCTCCCGCCCCCCCACCTCCGAGAGCCCACGCTCTGAGGGAAAGGAGAGGCCACCAGTGCCCGAGACCCCAAACAACTGAGCAAGGGACTGCTGGGAGGGGCCGGGGCACCTGCGCCAGGCCAAGGAGGAATGACAGTCACAAAAGGACAGTGATTTGCTGGGCAGCTGACCAGGTCTCGTACTGTGGCGTGCGGGTCACAGCCCCATATTCCAGGCCAGGAACTCACGGCTCAGAGATGCTGTGATCTGCCCGGGAACACACAGCCTTCGAGGGCTAGGCTGGGATCCATCCACCACAGAGACGGGGTGCACTCTGAAGTGACACCTTGACAGTAAGGACTCCATTTTAGGGCACCCGTGACTCCATCTTGCGAAGCCCCCCCGTACCATGAGACTCTGGTCTGAAACCACGATCTAACAGTCCACTGCATCCCACTTGGCAGAGCACAGAAACTCCCTAACACAATGGCTCACGCTTAAAACAGAGGGGCTGCACCTGGACTAATGTTAAGATTGTAATTTGTCTATTGTCAAGACTGTAATTGGTGTTAGTTTCCCACTAGGTCAGCTTGACCCTACTAACTATGTATTCCTCCCCCCATCCTAGCAACCATGTATCCCCCCTCCCTTCCTCCTGGCTTTTGCTTTTATAAACCTTGTTGCTTTGTGCTTAGGGGTGCAGAGTTCTAATTTAGGGCATGAGCACCCTCTCCACCGCCGGCAATAAGGGACCGTCCGATTTCACCCATGTGTGGTGCTCCTCAGTTCCCACTCGCCCAAGCACCACAATTGGACCCAGCCCTGCTGCTTTCCCGAAGCAGGTGTTTTCATCAACAGGAATAACAGAGGAGGGGAAATGAGGGCGGGGAGGGGAGAGGAAGAGGAAGAAAGGAAAGGGCAAGGAAGAGCAGGGGGCAGGAAGCAGGGCCAGGGCTGGAACGTCCCGTCTGGAACTTAACCCCTGCTGGACAAGGGACTGGATGGCTTCCCCAGGCAGCAGCAGCTGCTGTGTGCCCTGAGGGCCTGCCACGCCTTAGTCGAGTCTCTAAGATATTTTCCCCAGCACACCACCAACGCCTGGAACAATCCCATTTCACAGATGAGAACACTGAGGTTCTGAGAGGCACCCTGTGGTCTGCCTGTCTCCACAGCCCACACCCTCTGCATGCTGTCACCCCGCCAAGCCCTGCTGAAACAACACTGCCCACTTCCTGTTCCCCACACCAGCAAAGAGCCCCCTCCCCACCCCCACCCCCCAGACACAGCACCAATAAATGGCATTGCTGTCTGCTTAGAAGAGCAAGCCCAAATGCCCACGACTGGGGCCAATACCAGCCTGCCAGGTTCACCCCCAGTCCCACCTGCCCCCGCCCCCTCTGTCCCTAAGAGCCACAGCTGGGTCCGGGCAAGAGAAAACAGCAGTGGTAGTGGTGGAGCTGGTTCCGGCTCGCTGCAGACAAGGAAGAGGAAGAAGCAACCCGCTGAGGGTAACCCAAGCAAAGGCAGGGGGTACCGTAAGGAGGCAAAAATCTCACGGGAAGGAGGCGCAGGCAGGACGCATGGGGGCTGGCGGCAGGTGCAGGGAAGCCATCAGGTCCGAGGGCAGCTGCGGGCTCCCTCCAGCTCTCCGGGGGCCGCGGGCTCCCAGCTGCGGCTCTCCGCACGGCTGCCCCATTGTCTCTATGCACCGGCTCTCTGCTTACTCAGGGCTTTCCTCCGGCCTCCAGGCTTGCATGTTACACTCTTCTCTGCCTCCCGCTCAGCTTCCCGAGGCGCACCTAACCTAGCCGGCCGGGTGGCCTGATTTCAAATGCCCAGGGGAGGAACTGGATGGATCAGCTTGGTCAGGTGTCCCAGTCCCAGGCCAATCAGCTATGCCTCGGAACAAGAGGGCAGGAGAGGGTCTGCAGAGCAGGGGCTTCCAAACCAGGGTCACAACTCGCTGGTTGATAATGTATCGACTTAAAGACGTCTTGGTTTTTAATGGAATGGCATAGAATAGGAAATGGAAGCATGCCCTATAAGTAGTGGGGTTTAACAGATTCACCGATTCCCCAGTATTCCATGCCCCTCCCTGCAGGGTGCCTGGGAGCTTGCAGCCCTGTGCCCATGTGCCTCGCCCGGGCCAGTGAAGCATTCAACACACCCGATACCGCGTGCCCTTTGTATGAGTTTTCTGTAGCTGCTCTAACAAAGTACTGCAAACCTAGGGGCCTAAAACAACACACGGCTATTATCACACAGTTCTGCAGCTCACAAATTCAAAGTGGACCTCCCTGGGTTACAATCACAGTCTAGGCAGGGCTGCATTCCAGCTGCACACAGGGGCAAACCTGCTCCCCTTCCACCTTCCAGAGATTGCCCACGCTCCTGTCTCAGAGCCAGCAACAGCAAGGGAGCTCCCTGCACATCACATCACTTTGACCTCTTCTGCTCGCATTCTCTCCCACCTTTAAAGACCCTCGGAAGGCGGGCATTTGGCCTAGCAGCTCAACGCCAGGGTCCCACATCAGCACACCTGGGTGTGAAACCTGGCCTCAGCTTCCAGCTAACGCAGACCCTGGAAGGCAACAGTGACGGCTCAAGGAATCAGGTTCCTGCCACCCATGTAGAAGACCGGGACTGAGTTCCCAGTTCTCCGCTTCAGCAGCCCCAGCCATTCCAGGCTGGATTTCAACTAAATAATCCTTTAAATTAACAAAAAAAAAAAAAAAAAGCTGTTAGACTAACACTGGGCCCCTCTGGAGAATGGAGAGTGATCTCTTTAAGATACATTGATCGCCGGCGCTGCGGCTCACTAGGCTAATCCTCCGCCTTGCGGCGCCGGCACACCAGGTTCTAGTCCCAGTCGGGGCGCCGGATTCTGTCCCGGTTGCCCCTCTTCCGGGCCAGCTCTCTGCTATGGCCAGGGAGTGCAGTGGAGGATGGCCCAAGTCCTTGGGCCCTGCACCCCATGGGAGACCAGGAGAAGCACCTGGCTCCTGCTATCGGATCAGCGCGGTACGCCGGCCGCAGCGCGCCAGCTACGGCGGCCATTGGAGGGTGAACCAACAGCAAAGGAAGACCTTTCTCTCTGTCTTTCTCTCTATCACTGTCCACTCTGCCTGTCAAAAAAAAAAAAAAAAAAGATACATTGATCATCTCCATCGGCAGCTGTCGTTACCCTTTGCCCTGTAACAGAACACAATGACAGGCTCCAAGAATTAGCACGCAGGCTTGTTTGCAGAGAGCATTCCTTTGCCTGCCACGTCCTCCTTCTTCTGTCACAGATACAGCAGTGATCTGGATGGGGCTGTCTCCATCAACCGAAATCCCAGGGCTCTCCTGCCAATGACAGGTGTGTAGCACAAGCGAGAGAGGAAGCTCCTGGGCCACCCAGATTTGGGCGTGTTTGTTACGGCGGCAGCCAGCTCTCCTAGCCAATACAAAACGTGAGCACCGCTTAGAGAAACTTTGGTTGCAGGGAGTATGTGTGCGCTAAGTTACATGGTGAAATGGCTTTCAGGTTGAAAATTCAAATGTTTTTCAATGTATTCTAGAAGAGCATGCCTAAACCAAACATGTCTTATTGGTGTCTTCCATCTCCTAGTTCTACTCCCTCAGGTGGTGCTGCCACCTGCACACAGGGGCAAACCTGTTCCCCTTCCACCTTCCAGAGATTGCCCACGCTCCTGTCTTTCCATTGGCCAGAATGTGAGCCCATTCCCCACGTGCAGGAGGAGACACCTGGTGATCAGCTCTGACACAGATACCCTGCTGCCCTTTGGTGAGCCACAGTCCTCCCCGTGTCCCTTTGTGCCGGTCAGGGAGGGGACCGTGCCAGGAGGGGCCCAGATGAAGAACCTTCCAATACATATTACCAAGCAGCCAGAGTTCACATTTTGATACAGCACAAAAAATGGAATATTATATTACACTAAATCATGCCGGTAACAGCCTGTAAGGTAGACTCAGTCTGGAATCAAAACAGCACATCTGGCATGAGCTTCATTTTATACTCAATACCCAAAGCAAAAAAAGAGGAGACTCGATATTGTTGAGATGGCAGTACTCTCCAAACTGACCTGTGTATTCAATCCTTAGCAAATCCCAGCTGAGGGGTTTTTTGGGTTTTTTTTTGGGGGGGTGTGTGCAGAAATAGACAAGGTGATCCTAAAATTGACAAATTGCCAAACAATCTTGAAAAAAAACAGAGCAAAGTTGAAGAACTCATACTTCTCATTTTCAAAACTTATTGCCAAGCTACCGTAATCAAAAATGCAGTCAGAACCACAACTTCACACCATATAAAAAAGCAAACCAGAGCAAAGGCCTAAATGTAAAAGCTACAACTATAAAAGTCTTAGGAGAAAATCTTAAGTATAAATATTCACAGCCTTGGATTAGGCAACAGGTTCTTAGATATGACACCGAGTGCACAAGCAACTAAAGAAAAAGACATAAAATTTAAAACTTTTTTTGCTTCAGAGATCACTATCAAGAAAGTTGAAAGACAAGCCATAAAATCGAGAAAATGTTTTTTTAAAGATATATTTGTTTGAAAGGCAAAGTGAAAGAGAGAGAGAAAAAAAGAGATTCCATCCTCTGGTTCATTCCCCAAACTGGCCACAAAGGCCAAGGCTGGGCCAGTCAAAGCCAGGAGCCTGGGACTCCACCTGGGTCTCCTACATGAATGGCAGAGGCCCAAGCACTTGGACCACCTTCTGCTGCCTTCTCAGACACATTAGCAGGGAACTGGAGTGGAGCAGAGCAGCTGGAACTTGGACCAGCACACCTATGAGGGATGCCAGCACTGCAAGCAGCAGTTCAACCCACTGCACTGTAACACCAGCTCCGAAGATATTTTCAACTCATGTCTCTGATAAAGGTGTAACATCTGGGGTATATAAACGATGATTTTCACCTCACCAACAGACAAATAACTCAATTACAAATGGCAAGGTGATCCCAGCTTCTTGCTAATGTAGACCCTGGGTGACAGCAGTGACGGCTTCAGTAATTCACTCCATGCGACCCACGTGGGAGACCTGCACGAGCTCCTGGCTCCTGGCTTCTGCCTGGCCAAGCCCCGATGGCTGCGAGCACTCGGAGAGTGAACCAGCGCATGGGAGCCCTCTCCTCGTTCTGTCTCTCCCGACTCTGTCTCTCTGTGTGTATGTCTCTCTGCCTCTCAAATAAAGAAGAAATGTTTAAAAAGAAAAGGAATAGCTAAATCTAAAGAAAAAAAAAAAAAACAGAAATGAGCAACGGGTTTGAACGGCATTTCTCCAAGGAGGACACGTACAAACCAGGGAAAGATGCTCGACAGCACCCTCACCAGGGACATGCACATAAATACCAGAGAGATGAACTTCACGCCAAGACGGCTGTATACACAGGGACAGAACAAACGCTGACAAGCATGCGGAGAAAATGGAGCCCCAGCCGCCGCTCATGGGACTGCAGAGTGGGGAGCCATTGGGAAAACCATTTGGTGTTTTCCCAAACCTCTAAAAGGTTTTTTTTTAAATGTTTATTTATTTTCATCTATTTAAAAGGCAGAAAGGAAGAAGGGGAGGGGGAGGGGGGAGGGGAGGGAGAGGGGGAGGGGGAGGGGGAGGGGAGGGGAGGGGGAGGGAGGGAGAGGGGGAGGGAGAGAAATTTGAGCATTTTCCATCCACTGGTTCACTCCCCAAATGCCCACAACAGCCAGGGCTGAGCCCGGCTGAAGCCAGGAGCCAGGAGCTCCATCTGAGTCTCCCCAGTGGGTGACAGGGATCCACGCCCTTGGACCATCATCATCATCAGCTCCTTCCCAGGGTGCACTGGCAGGAAGCCGGCCTGGAAGCAGAGTAGCGGGGACTTGAACCAGCACGCCAATATATGAGGCAGGCGTCCCAAGCTATGGTTTAACCCACTGCGCTGCAATGCCTGCCCCCTCTAAAAGTTACCATTCTATGCAGCAAGTGCATTCCAAAAGAACTGAAAACAGCATCCATGCGAACGCGTGCACCTGAGTGCTCACTCCAGTATTATTCAAAATGGCCATAAAGAATAAGAAGAAAACCCCACGTCCGTTACTAATGAATGTGCTTTGAAAATGCGGTCCACTCCTACAATGGAATATTATCCAGCCATAAACCAGGAGGAAGTACTGATTCATGCTGCAGCACAGATGAATCCTGGAAACACGTAAGGGAAGAACGCAGACGTAAGAGTGATTCCACTTAGAGCACTCCCTGGAAAGTGGATCAGTGGTTGTCAGGGGCTGGGGAGAGGGGGCTTGGGCAGAGTTCATTTGCGGTGATGAAAATAGTCTAGAATTGTGTAGTGGTGTCAGTTATACAACCTTGAGGATATAATAAAAATATAATACTGAAATCGTATCTCAGCTTTTCAGAAAGACTAAAAGAAAAAGGCCGGCGCCGCGGCTCACTAGGCTAATCCTCCGCCTAGCGGCGCCGGCACACCAGGTTCTAGTCCCGGTTGGGGCGCCAGATTCTGTCCCGGTTGCCCCTCTTCCAGGCCAGCTCTCTGCTGTGGCCAGGGAGTGCAGTGGAGGATGGCCCAGGTGCTTGGGCCCTGCACCCCATGGGAGACCAGGATAAGTACCTGGCTCCTGCCATTGGATCAGCGCAGCGTGCCGGCCGCGGAGGCCATTGGAGGGTGAACCAATGGCAAAGGAAGACTTTTCTCTCTGTCTCTCTCTCTCACTGTCCACTCTGCCTGTCAAAAAATAAAAAATAAAAAATAAAAAAAATAAAAAAATAAAAATAAAAAAAGAAATAAAAGAAAAAAGAATAAAAGAAAATGTGCCTAAGAATGAACAGTGATTGAAGACTTGGTTCTTCACATTTCTCATCTCCTCAGGCTGTGTAATGAGTATTGATTCCTTTAAGAAACATTCCGGGACTTCCCTAACAGGAT